GTCTTTGCAAATTCGAATCGAGATTGTTGCGATTGAAATTCGTTTACTTGTACTAAAAGGGTTATATATATATTTATTTTCTAATTCTCAAGCTGGTAGACGATTCAAATATTTTTATAATTGACAAAGGGAAGGCGGGAAAGAGTGAACGCGTTTCATTGGCCAATGTATGACTACATAGTGCTACTCAACAACCGCGACCCATTTCTGTACCCCAACAGGCGGTGCACCGGGAATTAAAGGCGTGTTCGCAGCGTTCCTGCCGGCCACATAGTGATCGCGGTACCAGGCAATGGCCTCGCGACGGCTCCTCTTCTTCTGCTGCCACTGGTTAGGCACCCCATTGGTCTGAGCGTTGGCCTCGTCGCTGAATTATATATGAGTGCTGAACTAGAGCGAAATGAAAGGAGGGTGGACGTACTGGGTGCGGTACAGACCGGGTTCGCGGCCGCGGATGACCACGTACCACACCTCGCCCGATCCCTCCGGGAATTCGTGCTCGAGCTGGGTGGGCGTCTTGGGAACCCCGGGGATCCAGGCGGCGGCATCGGGGTCAATCGCCGGGAGCGGGGGAAGGAGAAGAGCGACTTTGACTAGGGATGAGTCAAAATCAGCGGATGGCAATGGGAGCAGCAGGGAAAACAACATACCTTGCACCTCGGCAGCGAGATCACTGAGGTTGTTCGCGGCAGCTGTGAGGCGGGTGACGCGGGCTAGGTCGAAGTCAATGAGAGAAAACAACATCGGGGAAAAAAGAATACCTTCGACGTCGGCGGAGGCGAGGGAGAGACGTGAAATCAGAGCGATCAACGCCTCCCGCTCGGAGAGCGGGCGGGAGACGTTCGTCGCCGACGAAAGTTGAGCCATGAGGGTGGGGTCACGGAAAGAAAGTGGGAGATGCCTTGACAGAAACGAAGTTATTAAGGGAAGAACGCAATGTCGGGTGGACTGACCCGTAATCAGATGGAACAGCTTGGCGGCAGAAAGATGGATTGATAAGTATCTTGATGGAGCATATGGTGTTAATAGGCGACGGCAGGGTAGCCGCGTTGGGGACGAGATAGGTGATGAGATGGTTGATTGAGAAAAAACCTAAAAGGGGACGGTTTGCAGGGACAATACTGGATTGGGACGGTATAAAAATGTGCCTCGTTAATTGTGGCTGGTTTTCGGTCTGTTTCGACATGGAGACAGGGGCAGATTGGACATATGGGGACGCCCGAAATAGTTTTGTTGGAGCGCACGTTGTTTTGTCAATTTGTTTTGAGTTCCTAACCCACGATTGCAGTTCGCATCGTTTACCGTCACCTAAAAAGCCTATCCACTCATAGGCTGCCGTGCACAAGTCCCCCGCCTCGTGTTACTCCCGGCCGTGTCCATGGCCCCTACAAGATGGACTACTCAGGAGCAGTTTGAATGGCTCGACGCACACATTGGAAAATACCTCGGGAGCAAGTCGAAGGGCGAGCAGATCGAGTTCTTTGTGCAGCTCGATGAGGCCTGGTTCGCGTTATGGCCGGCCGAGGACTTGTGCGACTTGCCGTCGAGGGACTCGGGCGTTGCACTGGATAAGGAGGAGGACCAGAGGCTGGCGAAGGCGCTGGAGAAACGCAAAGCAGTGAGTGGTTTGGACGCGTCCGGCGCGTCTTTGACGCGTCGTTTGCGAGGGAGGCTTACGTGTGTTCGCAGCAACTGCGAAGTTGGTTCCGCAATGCCACATCCAAGACCCGCGCGTCCGGGGCAAAGGCTGTGAAGAAGGACGACCAGTCTTTGATAGCGGCGGCACTATGGCAGGACGGCAAACGCCACCGCGATCCACAATTGGTTGAATTGTACCAGAAGATTTACCCAGACCGCGTTCGTGACGGCCTGCAGGAGGCTGGCTACCACGAGAAGCACAAGGGGGATCTTGAATATGTTGGTCACGATGGGAAGATGCCAGACGCGACACTCAAGGCGCTCCTGAGAAAACAGGCAGCCAATTGGTTGGGTATGCGGAGGGCGGTGTCGAGGGCGATGTTGGAGACGGAGAGCGACGAGGTTAAAGAGGAGATGGAGCGCGAGCTATGAGCAGTGAAGGAGAGGAAGCTGGCGAATAAAGACGCGGTGGAGAAGCTGACGCCGGAGTTAGCTCAGTTGTGAGTGGATTCACGTCTGGCTTGTGCGAAGAAACTAATGAAATTAAATGCTGCAGGTCGTTGGATCAAATGGAAGGAGTCTTCGAACGCCTGCACACACTAATCAAGGAGAAGACGGGCTGGGTTGGATTTACGATGTTGGGAGGGCCGATGCCGAATGTGGGCGGGCAGTTGATGGTCAATGTGTACGTACAGCACCAGCAGCGGGTCACGCATGACTGACACTCATCTTGCAGATACCATTGCGGTGAATCACCCGCCGGCCACAGCTTCAAGGACTCGCACCCTGCGTGGAACGCCAACGTTGGCTCGCAATTCACGGAGTTTTTACACCGATGCTTCTGTAAGTTGGGCTTTTTTTTGGTGATGTCGAGCATACACTCATTGTTTTTGAAGCCCGCGCCACTCGCGACACAATGGCGCTGCCTGAACCGGAGGATCCGTTTGACGACCTCATAGGGATGTCTGGCTCGGAATCGGACAGTCCTGCGCCAAAGAAGAAATTCAAAGCCCCGAAACGCCCCAAGAAGAACGCGAAGCAAAACCTATCGACGGCCCAAGGTGCTGTGCCCTCCCGCGCTCCTTCTTCTATGCCCGCAACTCCGGTACAAGGGCCTCAGCCTGCCTGCGAAACTCCTGCGCCCCAGCCCTCGTTCCCACAAGACTTACCGCCCGTCCCCCAGCCCTTGTTCTCGCTCCCACAAAACTCACCGCGCTTGGATTCGGTTCGCGTCGCCCAGCCCTCGTTCCCACAACACTCATCGCGCATGGAGGATGCCACCGCCGTCGGGCGCGATGAGAACGCGGGTTGGGAGGGGAGTGGCTGGGACGATCCAATGCCGGGGGCTGGCGAACTTGGGGGCGGGCCGCTCTGGAGTCCAGGCACGGGGGGTTTGCTCCAGGAGATCTACGGAGCGGCGGGAGGATATGGTGACTTCACCGCTGGATTTAGCATGGGGATGGGCGCGGATATGGGTTTTGGGGACCAGGAGCAAAACGGGCGGCTCTACTTGGATCAGGGCTTGGTGGAGAACGAGGTGAGTGGGAGTGGGCTCTGCTTGGACGCCGACAACGAGGGGGATCCGCGCAGCATGGAAGTCACCATGGCTAGCGATTTCAGCCTCAATATCGGCGGTGAGACTCTGCCAAGCCTATTTCATGCGCATAACTGATTCTACGGGTTACAGCGCGATACACCGGTCCACTATTAACGCTGGCGACGGGGCAATACGCGCCGCTGAGATTGGGTCCGCCCTCTCAGGACATGGCAGCCGCGACTCCTCCGGTGGCGGAGTGTAGAGACCACACCGCTCTCAACCTCGTCCATGCTCACGAGCAACCAAACTCCCTCCCGCAGCCGCACCCTCTGGCCCCGAAGGCGACACCACCGCACACGTCCCAGACCCAGACCCCGACGACGCCGCCGAACGTGCCGCCATCGAGTGTGACTCAGCGCCCTCTGCTCCCGAAGGCGACGCCACCGCACACGTCCCAGACCTCGACCGCGACGACGACGCCGCCGAACGTGCTGCCACCGAGCGTGACTCAGCGCCCTCTGCCCCCGAAGGCGACGCTGCCGCTGCACTTGAAGACGACGCCGCCAAAGCCGTCACAGCCCCGGCCGCAACCGCGCCCCCTGCCCCCGAAGAGCAAGACGCCGCCGAAGAACGCGACGCCCGCCAATACCTCGCCGTTGCCTCCGCGCATAGCGAGAGCGGGGGCCTCCGCGATAGTGACTTCGAGTGCGGCGCTGGCATTCGCGATGAAGCGTGCACGGGAAGAAGAGAGCGAGAGCGAAGAGGAGGATGTTCCCCTCAGCGGACCGGCATACCCGTTGTCGAGACCAATGGCGAACCCGCCAAAACCGTATGCGAGGCCGCACGCAGGGGCCGGACGTGGAGGCGGAGCTCGTGGGGGCGTGGGGGGCGTGGTGGGCGTGTGGGCGAAGAGGAGGAAAGCAGCGCGGGCGGCCGCGCATGCAGGTGGCGGTGGGAGGGGATGGAGTCGCAGACGATGGAGGCGCTGAGGAAGGGGGCGAAGAGGAGGAGCAGGAGGTGGTGCACGAAGGGGGGCAGCAGGAGGAGGTGCAGCAGCAGGGCGTGCCCGAGGGGGAGCAGCACGAGGCGGAGCAGCAGAGCGAGGGTGTGGTCCAGGGATCCACGACGCGCAGGAAGAGGGTCCCACTCGCGTTTTTGCAGACATATGGCGACAACGGGGAGGTGATTCCGCTGCAGCCGGGCAGCACGCTGCCTGGGATCTCGAGCAAGAGGAAAAGGGAGATCCGTGCCTTCGAGAAGAGGAGGGATGCAGAGGAGAAGAAGGGGGAGGCGGCGGAGAAGAAGCTCCAGGCGTCTCGGCGCAACTTCACGGGCGTGCATGACTTGGTGGTGCTACCGCGCCAGGAAGGCGCCCCCATGCCACCCGTCCCAGAAACTGGCCGACCCGGTCGTGCGCGAAGAGCCCCAAGGAACGCGAATGACAACGCTCTCTTGCTGGAGGCGTTGGCGGCGGCCAAGCAGAAGGACCAAAAGAAGAAGCCAGGGGAGGCGGTGAAGAAGAGGAAAGCGCAGGAGAAGCAGGAGGCGAGCCGGAAGAGGTGCGTCGCCAAATGGTACGGGGAATAGGGGTACTGACATTACTTTGCTGGGCAGGCGCAAGGTTTAGTGAGTGAGGGATGGGCGAACGGGGAAAATATGGAGCAGGGCGGCTTATTTTTTGGTGGGGCAGCGTAGCATGTATTATTTTTTTTTGGCGTAGCACGACTTGGTGTGTGACGTAGAACGACTTAGAAAAATTTTAGTCATAGGCAAGTGGATTCGACCAGCTCAGGGATGTATTGCGTAAATTTCACTGCATTTCAATGCTACTGTGGCTCAGAGGCATGAGCTTCAGAGTTCTGTTAAATCGTGGTAAGCGGAGGTCTCAGGTTCGATTCCTTCTAGTGGCACTTTTTCAGATTAGCAAGTCTTCTTTTTCTTTTCAAATTCGTTTTAAGTCAGCTTTTTTTTTGTTTCCACAGTGAAACTCAGCTGAGGGTTAGCTAGGTGTGTCCAAATTAAAAGATGCATTGCATTCTATTACTCAAAACGAAAGGGTGTAAGATAAAATCGTGTATTAATAAATATATCGATTATAAATGTAGCACCAGACGTGGGAACGCGCAGGAAAAGAGCTGGGATGCACCAGACAGGGCGGGGGGATATCCTCCGCCTGTGCGCCATGGAACGGCGGAATGCGGTGGGCGGAAGGGCGGGCGGGAGCGGGGCGGGGTGCGGGCCGTAAAGGGGGCACAGGGCCCGCAAAAGGCCAGGGAGGGTGGCGGGGATGCGGGAGACAGGGTTGATGTATCGCCCGCCGCTGTACGCCATCGAGCCGCAGCATTCGGGGGGCGAAACGGCGGGCGGGAGCGGGGCGCGGGCCGTAAAAGGGGCACAGGGCCCGCAAAAGGCCAGGTAAGGCGGCGGTGCTGCGGGATACAGGTTGGGTGTATCGCCCGCTGTGGTACGCTATAGAGCCGCAGCATTCGGGGTAGCCCAACGGCGGGCGGGAGCGGGGCGGGGCTAGGGCGGTAAAAGGAGCACAGGGCCCGCATAAGGCCAGGTAAGGCGGCGGGGGGCTGGCCTGATGAGGGTGGAGTAACGACCGCTAGTGTGCGCCATCGAGCCGCAGCATTCGGGGGCAGGAATGGCAGGGGCAAGCGGGGCGAGGTGGAGGAGGAACGGAATGGAGAGGGCGCTATGGAATGGATACGAGGCCGGGGGATCGCGAGGGGTATGCGCGAGGGGTTTTTTGTGTGGCCAAGGAAGGGCAGGGCCAGCGGAGCCAAGGGAGGCCAGAACGAAGGAGGAGGAGGGAAGGAAGAGCGAGGATAACACGCACAAACAACACGCCGCGGTGCTAATTGGCGTACTTTGACAGGCTCTCTCATCCTTGCCTGAGCTCAAGAGGCTCTGTAAAGTCGGTTTGGTAGTCTAGTACACTAAACTTAGATTTACTGACAAAGCGCCGCTCTGGGGAGGAGCAGAAGGAAATCGCCGAAAGCGGTAGGTGCTACAGGTACAGCCACCTGCGCGCCCCCGACGTCCTGAAGCGGGCGGGCTGATGTCTGATCTGGCATCTGATGGGTGAGCTTACGCGTGGTCCACTCACCTGAACAGGAAAGGCCTCTAACGCGATGTATCGCGAGGGTCTCTCATTAGAGTCGTTGATGTATCGCGACTCTTCCTCTCACCAGAGCATCGCGATACATCAATACCCCGGATACGCCTGAGAAGCCAAAGCAGAAGCAGTCCAGCAGGCCCTCGCGGGGTAATCACATGCCAAACACAGCCTCAACCGCGCTCCCACGTCAAGTCACATCACGCCAAACGTAACGCACGCGCTTAGAGTCAAACCACCACCACCAGCCAGAGAGCTTTGGGTGAGGGCTCCTCCCTTGCCGCAAACTGACATGAACCAAGCAACACGACTTCCAGATATCCTTCTCTATGTCTTCGAGCACACAGACTCCGAAACGGATGTGTCCTGTGCTCAGGTTTGTCGCCTCTGGAACGACAACATCCTCGACATTCTATGGTATCGCGTCACCCAAATCCGCCGTCTGTTCAAAATTCTAGGCCCTCTTGAGAAATTAAACCACAATCTGATGGTCTGTTAGCCATTTGCGCCTTATGATCAATTCACGAACAATGGCTCCGTAGACATTCACCCATCACCACATATCCAACGAGCGGTGGAAAAGATTCTCGTTTTACGCCGACCGTGTCAGATACTTGGAATGCCGGGACCACAGCCCCGGTATACACAGCCAAAGCTTCGCCACTCTCGCTATCTCGCGGCCCGTCCTCCATTTATTTCCGAACCTCGTCCATCTTACTTGGAGATGTGACCCCGGACGGCCGGCACCGTCACTCACTCTGGCATTGCTTTTTTTGCATCCGGGACTTGTATCACTTACTGTTGAGACCGGCCAGGATTCCTCGCCGGGCGATTTATTCGCTATCAACAACTTCTTTAGTGACGTCGTAGTTCGCGCCCCACATATTCGGCATCTGGATTTTCGATCCCAGATTCCCTTGCATGATCTTGGGCCTGGCCTGGCAAAGTTCGTGGTGGGATTGACCCAGCTCAGGACAGTCTTACTCTCAGATGCGCTGCTTGCCTCGGACGTGATCACGGCCCTGGCAAAATGCCCCAACCTCGAGGCGATCCGACTTCCACCTCCACATGAGTTGACAACAATGGAAGACGGAGATTTGGATGACCTGGAAAACTTCATACCCGTCGTCGGGCCCAATTCCTTCCCGTGTCTGACCGAAATCGCCTTCCTCGCCCACCTTTGGAATGCCACAAGATTCCTCCAAAACATACTTCCCGGCTCTTCACTCCGGCGCATCCTCGTTCGCACCCTGTCCGTCGAGTGTTCCGAGAATCTCGCCATCTTCTTTGATGCGGTCGCGTCGGACTGTCCCGGAATCGAATCCCTGGCAGTTTCCGTCGTCTTCCGCGATATCACCGGGGCCGAGCCCGTTCCCTTCTCGTGCATGGAGCCGATGCTCGCCTGCCATGCGCTCACCTCATTCACTTTCGCAACACCCTGCCCCCTCGCGATCACCGACTCGCAACTAACCACTCTCGCGGTGGCCTGGCCCCGGCTCGAGATCCTCAAGTTGAATCCTGCGCCATTCCCCCAGTGGGACCCTGCGGCGTTGACACTGTCCGCGCTGCCCATCCTCGGCGAACACTGCCCCAACTTGCGCGAGCTCGCGCTCCTTGTCCACCCGGACATGATCCCCACCCCCAGCCCCGCGCACCCGCTCCGCCGCCTCACGAGCCTCCGCCTCGGCGTGACCGGGTACCGCTACGACGAGCAGGATCTAGCGCTGTTCCTCGCGATGGCCACGCCCCCGTCGTGCTGCATCTTGCCCGCCGCGCTGTACCCGCTTTGGGAGCTCGTGCAGGACAACAGCAGCCTGTGTGAGAACACTGAGACATGCGAGGCGATGTTTGACGCTGCGCTCGCACTACTGCCGATGCTGCGGCGCGTGCACGCGCAGTATCAGGACCGCATACGAGCGCTGGAGGACGAGGTGCGCCGGCTGAGCCTGGATAGGAAGGGGAAGGGCGTCGATCGTGGTTGAATCTATCTAGGGATCTACATGTATAATTATCGTCAAATCTGGATATATTTCCTTCGCAACTCGAGCTCAATCGCATTGTCGTCGGTCTAGCAGCAACAGGGTCAGGCAAGGAAACTGGCGATGCAACTATTCAACCCACCAGTTCGGTGCCTCCCGTGCGCAGCTCAATTCCGCGCTTCGCGCACATCGACTGTAGCGAGGCAAATGACAGAGGTTTGGGGGACCAGCCCCACGTGAACGTCTTGAGGTTCGGGAAGGTCACGAGTTGCTGCGCCAGCCCATCGACGTCGAGCGAGTCGCTGTCCGGCGCTCCGCCGATCGCGAGGGCGCGGATCGTGCGCGGAATGATAGCCATCGTGGCGCTGTCGGGAAACCTGCCCAACTCGAACCGCTCGAGCTGGGTGCACAGTGCAAGGGGGGCTTCCTCGGGGTCGAGGGTCTTGACGGAGAGCGAGCGCAGGCGCGGACCGTGCTCGCGGAGAACCTCCCCCAAGGCGGACGGGTGGCCGCCCTTCGACTTGTGCCACAGCATCTGCAACTGCTCATCGCCGGGCTTCACGAGCGACGCAAGGCACGGGCCAATATCCTGTACTAGCGTGGTGTTGAATTTCACGGCCACGAGCGAGAGGTTGGGGGCCGGATCGAACGGGAGAAGCGACTGGTTGAGGTTCGAGGTAATTTCGAGGAGTCGGATGGACGGAAACGAGGCGACAAGCTGGCTGGAAGACGAGGGAAGTTTTAGTTGTGGGTAGGAGATGCAACATAGAAAGAAGTACTGCATGATGCGCATGTGCTGCGCTTCAGATGGCGAAAAGTCCTGCAAAATGCAGAGCGACGTGATACGTGGACCGAATTCGCGTAGACGACCGAGGGTTTCGACGTCGAAATCACACGAATCGGTCGTCACGTCGAGATGTCGTAAGTTGGGGGTACGCAGCAGCGCAGTCGCAAGGGTATTCGCGAGAGCATTCGGGTCCGAGGTCCTCCAGCGACCCGTATGCCTGAAAGTGAGGCTGAGAACACTGTCCGCCAGCCATTTTCCGCGTTCTGTAGAGGGATCTATGGCCGCTAGGAATGATGGCAACGTATTCTGGGTTACCGCTCTTCGATGGGGTTCCGTATAGATATTATGGGGCAAAATGACGCGGCGGAAGAGGAGGCGCTGTGCAGGGGCAGACCAGGCTTTGCAAACTGCACTGCATGCAGCGAGGACAGGAAGATTGCATGACCTCTGGTGGAAAGGAATCGGGACAGCGAGACAATCGAGAATCTCGAGGATAAGGTCGAAACCGAGGATCGCATGCATTGATGTGTCTGACTAGTGGAATAAGTGGCTGAATATGTGCCTTGAATCAACTTACCATTGCCAGCGGGAGGTCAAAGCGAGGTTATGTGTGAAGGTAAGAACGAGGAGATGTATGTTCGCATTTGGCTGGACCGTGCCGAATTGATTGACCGACCGGTCCGAGCGTTCCGTCAGTAACCGCAATCCAACTGCGCATTTTTTTTTGGTGGAACACTTTTTGAGCTCCTGTATCAGGGCAGATACGGAGCGAAACCAAAACCGAGTGGCAATTATTTAGCGTCGAGTACCGTCCATTTTCATTTTATGGCGGTCCGGATGTACATTTATTCCGCCCCCCGAAAAGTCGACCTCCGCCAGGACCCCGGATTATCCCACTGAAGGCCTGTTCCCGACCAAGACAATTTTGTCGGGATTAAAACTGACCATTTTGGGCGATTTTGTCGGGATTGGAACAGGCCTAGGGCAAAGATCAGACCAAATCTGTCGGGATTCGGCCCATTT